CTGGGAATCCAGGAAGTTTCAAAACATTCCAGAAAAGTGATTATCTGCACAGACTGGATATAAATAGGAATATGTTTATCTAATAAATGCATTTTGTACTCTGCTTGTGGAGAACAAATCAATAGTTACACACCAAGAACAATGAAAAATTTTAAGAGCACATACATTTGTTGTAAAAACACATTTCTGCATAAGGTACCCTTACTTCATCTGGAGTTTGTTTAAGGTTCTTTATAAACACACATGGTCCTAATACATGAGAACTGAACTTTAAGCTTCTTCTTTCAAAACATTTCAAAAGATCAGGCTGGCAGTTATATAAATAATGAGTTTACCTGGCATGTAATACAAATTGATCAGACACAAATCATTACTGATAGAAACTGCTCATACAATAACTGCATTACAAATTGTAATGACTTAAAGTGTTTCACAGTTTTTTTTTTTATTTTGAGAGCTCTGAAAATTTAAAGTCAATCTCCACCTCCCATTTGTAGACTTTCATGCAAAAATATACATTGAAAACGTTTGTGCATTGTCATGGCTGACTTCTCAATTAGTTTATGTAACTCTACATTTACTAAGACTTTATTAGAGTTTTATGGATTTCTGCCCCTAAGAAGCTAAACATTTTAAGTTAAACGATTTCATAAATACCTTGAAATTTCCAAATGAATTTTGAATTAAGGAAAACAATAAACAAATAGTATTCAGCAAATTATCAGTTCAGCTAAGCTTTCAACTAAGTAACTGAGAGTAGTGCTACAAAAAGAAACAGCAGATGTGACAAACACAGCTCTCCCTATAACTCATGGGATTCAATGTGCCTCACCACTTTCTAGACAGTGGATACGTCTGCAACTAGAAGACCAGTATGCTGCAGCAGAGTTCTACATTGACTACAATTTTGTGTATCAGTCCCTTCAATAACTTGCTCACTCATGTTTGTAAGCTACAGGTGAGATCTCCATCAGTTCTCAATCAATTTCAGCACCCAGCTCACCTACTGTACTTGCTCCGTGAGTTTGCAGTATATAAACAAAATCATGGCCTAATGGAGCAGATTTTGGTGGAGGCCAGGTAAACCAAGTTTGCTTAGAACGTTAATGACTATACTGTAGGTACGAATGAAAAGATGAAAACAAAACCTCACAATTTTAAAAACACAAAAGTCTTTCTCTGTCCACTTAATCACAACAAAAGAAACAAGATGAGTTAATTTGCCTGCACTTTTCAGAAAGCTTTGTTTTGTGGGTTGAATATAGGTCTTTCTGAAAGTGTTAGCTTACGTACTTGTCAGATCTGAGAAGCTTAAGTTAGCAGGCATGTTTCCTTAGGTCAATTGCTACTGACACAGGTCAGAGCTGCACCTTACCTAATGAAATTCAGGTTTAGGCTAGATTGTGCAGTGGTGTCCTTTTTTTAACCTCATTTCTTGTTCTGAATAATACAAGATGTCAGTTTGTCAGTTATTTATTATGATTGGTTATAGCCTTATAAGGTATGTTGGTTCTTATGGTGTTTTGCTTTTGACTGAATGCGTTTTGGCTTTACTGGGATATCTAGGAAAGAGGCCACAGAAGGAACATAATACTGTATAATAATAGAAAATATTACAAATAAAATGACAGTGTCCCTCCTGGCTGGCCTTCAGTATTAATGAGGCATAATTTTTGTTACCACCTTTTTGAAGTGGTAATAAAAGCCTTTATATTATTATATTATACAAGCTTTAAAATCTTTCTAAAGTGGTTATAATAAAGCCCTTAATTAGATACCTGTATTTTATTTGGATGTAAAAAGGAGGTCCTGAAAGAAGAAAGCAAAATAAAACTAGGGAAAATCACTTAATAATATTATGCTGTCTTCGAACAGTATCTGGGCAAAGTTGTGGAAAAGTGGAATATGGATGGAATGTCTTCAGTTCATATTTTAAATTAAACTTTGAAGTCTACATTGTATAATTAAAAGGGTAATCAACCCCAACACAATTAGCAGGAACATGTAAGCCTTTCTGCAAGCTTCTGTTATAGCACTTTTATTATGACACATGTAACTAATTATAGAACAGAGATAAAACATTGGCTGGCATTTATGGCTTTCAAAAGAGGAAGGAAAAGTTTTTTCTTTTTCTCATTAAAACGTGTTAAAATAAAAACTGTTAATTGCTGTTATTCTGTAGGGGGCCAACACAGGGAGTACCATCACTTTCCAAATATAGTGCGTTTTAATTGCATTTCAGCAAAGTAGATGTCACATCTCTCCTTCTAGAAACAGGATGCTCAGATTAAGATGTCAAACATTTTCTCTTGTTTTCGTTTATTAGGAAAAAATGCATGAAGTTTCATTCCTCAGGCTGTTTCCTAACTCATTCTCTCCTGTAAGCAATACAGCTGGGTATTAATAATATTATTATCATAATGCCATTATTAGGACTATGCATGTAGCTTGTTAATTAAAACAATGGCTGAATAAACAACAGATAAATAAATGACATACCCTTGGTTCAAGGAAACCAAGGCTAGTGAAGAGCATTTGGGCTTTTTTTATTACTATCTCACCAACAATATACCTTGATGGATTTATTTTTCGTACACGTGAAAAACAAAAACCACATGAAAACAACTTACACAATCAACATTTAATGTTCAAAATGTTGTGAAGGAATGTGATTACTAAAGAGCTTTTTTCCCCAGACAATTAGCAGAAAAAGATTAATCGTGGAACACTGCTCTGGGGTGGCACCTCAGCAACTCCAGCCCACATTTGTAAAGAGTGAAAAATGAGCAAGCAGGCTTCTTGTTTGGAGGCTAATATGCCACTCACTGACCCAGAGCGGAGAGGCTCTGTAAGCAGCACAGAGTGGTTGGCCTTTTTAATCAATTCAGTCAGTTACTGGGGAGCCCATCACCATGTTCTACACAGCACTTCAACCTAAAAAAAGTATAGGTTATACTCATGGCATGTAGCAGTGTGCTTGATAAATAGACTGTGTCAAGGTTATCACAAGGTACGATCTAAACGTATGAATCTTTTTTTTTCCCTCTTGCCCCGGGCAAAGTGTCACCACCAAGTAAAAGAGAATCAGAAGACAGAACATTAGACATGTGCCTCCCAGCATCTTTTCTAGGTCACACAGAGGGAGTAATAGGCGCACTTCAGCCATGTAGATGCTTCGCATTCATTGGCGGAAAAACCTTTTATCTATTTTTTCCAGAAATTATTATGGGCCGCTTTTTTGTCAATGACTTCTACCCTTGTGTTTCACTTACTTGTGTTTTAGAACTGGTTTTATTACATACAGGACACACAGGACTGAGCTACTATATAAGCTAACATATTTTGGATGTTCTACTTGCAACACAAGACAAATTGCTAAGAGAATAAAGACTGCACCACAAACAGTGTTATTATTTCACAACATATTTTTGGTTATGGGTGGCACAGTGGTGCACAAACACACTGTTTTAGTTCTAGATTAAGTCACCATCTGTGTGGAGTTTCTTAGTGTGCACATGTAAGTTTCTGCTGGATACCTCCTACTGTACCTTACAAAAACTGTAGATACTGTCCAGGTTATTTGGACAGTATTGGTGTCTTTAAAATGGCCCTGTGTTCTTGCAATTCTGAAATACTGTATACTTCCTCCTGTGGACTGGTACCATGTCCTTCCTATGCTGGCGCCCTGTGCTTCCAGGATAGGCTCCAGAATGCCACAATGCTAATCAAGACAATGTGGCTTTCTGATAATGGATGGATCTTTTGGATACAGGTATCAGAAATGAACCATGATCCTTTATCCTTTTCATCATTCTAAAAGAGCAGGAAAGGACACAGACAGAACCTCCCCACAAAGCATTAACTCACATAGAATTGACAATCCAGTGAAGGAGATGGATTTCTACCGTATCTGCCTAAATGGCTTCCAAACTCTGTATTCCCTCATTGCTCTTTTGACTTGGACTGTAGCAGGTTTCAAAGTGAGCAGAAAGGTACCTCACTTGCACATACTGTACAGTATGTGATTAAGTCGCAGTCTGCATTTAGTTTACAGAGGTTCGGAGAGGATGAGGAGGAAGAAAACGTGCATTTGGCCTTATGCTTAAGATGGTCAGTGGGACGGTAGATATATTGAACAATAGAATAACTTCAGGCATCTGTCATCTTCAGATTGTGTCAGAGGAATTTTGGTTCAGTTATTGATTGCATCATGGCTGCTGAAACAAATCACTACTAAGTATTACACTGAGGTCCTTATTCAGAATACAGGAGGAATAAACTCACAGTTTAGTCAAGAGAAAGAAAAAAAATCATCAGAAAAGAGGGACATACCTACGACAATACAATAGGAGTGTGACGTGAGATTCTTAAGAAGATTGAAGTCACATCTAATCAGTTCTTAAGATGTACAATTTTGTATGTGTAATCTAACCAAAGCAATGAAAAATGAAAAAGATCCCTGCTATTACTGGGGAAAGGAATGGAAAAGCACTTATATGAGCATTTGAATAATTCAGAGTCTGCAGTAAAGAAAAAGTTAAATCACCCAAAACAACTCTTTCATCCATTAAATAAATAAAAGGGGGAGGTGAGCGCTCAGTTCACTGAGGCAGGGAACGTGTGATGAGTCATGATTCAGGGCATTTTCTTTCAAATCTCCACCACTGCAAGCACGACCGGGATCTCTTCTAAAATGTTAACTGAAGCAAATCAAGGAAATGCGTTGTTTTTTAAGTCTCCAGCTTGTTGTTGACGTGAGTATACAGTACTTATTGTTGTTGTTGTTGTTGTGGAGCCCTACGGTGAAAAACAAAAGCGCTGTGACTTCAGACTGCACAGTACAGTACGTCCAAACCGTAACCTTCTACAACACGACTGGTATTTAAGAATAAACAATCGTTATTATGCAAACCCATTTAATTCAAGGACACACAATTAAGAAATAATATTGCTTTCTTTGTGACAGCACACGTCCCATTCTTTTCAGCATAAACTTTCAGATGCTGTTGTAAAAAAATGAACCAAAAACTATTAACGGCAAAAGGCAAGAAAAAAAAAAACAGTTTGCCCTCTGAGCTTGTGCCTGAAAGGCAGCTCATCCGTTTCATCTCGCCTCGGACATTTGGCTTGTTCTCTCCGCCGCGCTAAATTATTCGCTCCTCTCTTTGTTAGTTGCACCAATAACAAGAAAATGTTTCAAAAGAGTGTGATTGGGTGACGTCACATGGACCCAGCTGACATTGTTAGCCCTACCTCCTCTGACCAGGACTTTACTCCTCTAATCCACTCTATACTCAGCGCTAATGCTATCAACACTAATTCTAGCCAGAAGAGGAAACACGGCACCCCCCGATTCTCATGCATACAAGCTGAAAGAAAGGAATCCAAGTCGGTCAGAGACGGATTCTTCCCTAAGTGATTACCGTTGGCTGATTTTTTTTTTCTCCATTTCTTCATATTTTTTTTTTTGTTCACTTGAAGAGCGCGGATTCGGTTGGAAAGGGAACTGAGCGCTGCCTGTTAACACTGTCCTGGGTCGTGAAGCTGAAGCTGCGTCTGGCATTTGGCCACCTGCACATGGAGCTGGTGTTGTACACCTCACCTTCCGATCAAAATGAGGTGGTGGATGTTTAATCAAGCAACCCAGTCTTACTTCTGGTAGAGACACGAATCTGACTCATCAAAGTCGAATCTTTTTTTTGTGTGTGTGTGTGTAATGACAGGACGAAACGGAACCGTCTGCGTTCTTCTCAAGTGGAAGATTCTAACCTCGAAGTCTGACGTCCCAGCAAATCAGAATGGGGTTTATTTCCTTTGTCTTTTTGTCTACAGACTGGGGTAGAATGATCTGTTTCTCCAAAATGTAAGGACGTTGCTTTCTCGAGAGAGGCTGGTTCATGCTTTTAAAATAAGTGCTCTCGAAATAGCTGCAAACTGGGAAATCCATAAAATGCGAAGAGTTTTTTGTTATCCGTTTAGAAGACGGCAGCGCTTTTGTGCGCCCTTACACGGAATATTCATAAAAGCATCCTGTTGAAATTAACGAAGCTGACTCATATAACCTTTATTCTGATATGCAATGAACTTGAACTTTTCGTGGACTAATTTTATATTCAGTTCGTATTCAAAGTTAATCTTGAATGTGTTTTGTGTGATACATGTATTACCTTGGGTAAGATATGTTCTTTGAAGTTTCGTGGCCGTATCTTATATCTTAAATCTGCTTTTAAGGATTACAGACTCGGCACATGGTTACTGGACTTGAACAACCTGGCTTTGTAATCGATACTAAGCGAGATATTTCTGTCTTTATCATGGGACACATGGGTGTGTCTCGAAAAAAAAATACTTTGCACCTTGCCAAAACTCCAAGCTAAATATTTTGAAAGCAATGCTCTTCAGATTTACAACCTCAGATGCCCGTTTTATGAAAGTCCGTGAGCCACGTACGCCAGGATCTACTTGTCCCAGGTTTCGGAATGGGAAGTAAAAAGCTTCACACGCCTATTCGTTTGTTTTGTTGACGTGTAAAACAGAAAATAACGGAGGCCACTGCAAACAATGGAATTATCTGAAGTCAGGTGTTCCAGTGCAAGCGACGAACTCTACACCATTAACAAAACCCCAACCAGCAACAGCAACACCAGACCGAAAAGACTCCTCTGGCAAAATGCTGTGAGACACATCACCGAGCAACGTTTCATACACGAGCAAAGTAGCGCAAAAACTATCGGTTCGGATGAGTCTTACAGCCAAAGCATTCGAAAACAATCGACAAGCAAGACAGCAGCAGGCGACAGGCACAATAATGGCGGGACCAAAGTGTTCCCCGAGAGGGCTAGCAGTGATTTGGGATTCCTCCAGATAGACTGTGCCCCGAGCAATTCTGATTTCTTCCTTAACTGGGGATACACGTACAGAGGCGTCATCTTTCCAACTTTGAGAAACTCTTTCAAATCAAGGGACCTTGAGCGTCTCTACCAACGTTACTTTTTGGGGCAGAGGCGCAAGTCCGTGGTGGTGATGAACATTTTGGACGTTTTAACAAAGTTAACCCTTTTGGTTCTGCACTTGACGTTGGCCACTGCACCAATGGACCCTATAAAAGGCATACTTCTGGGCTTCTTTACTGGCATTGAGGTGGTGATCTGTGCCTTAGTAGTGGTTAGGAAAGATACAACTTCCCACAGCTATTTGCAATACAGCGGCGTGGTGACTTGGGTAGCAATGGCCACTCAGATTCTGGCGGCGGGGCTAGGTTACGGACTGCTCGGAGATGGTATCGGCTACGTACTCTTCACCCTGTTTGCGACATACAGTATGCTTCCATTGCCACTGACGTGGGCTATTCTAGCTGGATTTGTCACATCAGCTCTTCATATTGTGGTGCAACTGGTTATCCCCAAAAATGCACAAATATCAACAAATCAGGTACGTCTTCACGTAGGTAGGGATTCGCTCCTTCTTTGCCAGCAGCCTTAACGGGAAATTTATTGCATAAGCAGAGGGAAACTTGTGCCCAGCTGTGGGAAAAAAAAAGAAAGTTCACACTAAATGCACTAGAATTCGCACCCACCTTTCCACGATAAACAGTAGGGAAGTCCTGGCAGTCACTTGAAAGGGATTATTAGAGTTTTGTCATTATTATAATTTTAACTGTTATTTTTAAGGTGGTAGCACGTTATCACTGTGCTCGCAGTCCATATTTATCGCGAAGTGATTTCTTAGAAGCGCCTTGTCTTTATATAAAGAATTACACCAAGTCAAGCCCTCATGTCATCTATAAACTACCAGGATTCTTATTTTTAAAGTCACGTTAAAGAAACAAGACTACAACAAAATGTACGTGCCCCAAATTGAAACTTTATTAAACATGACTTAAGTATTGTTTTAATAATAAATGGTTGTGGTCTACTAATGCTACACACAATTGACTATAACATACACATTCAGTGCTGATATTTATATTATTAGTCATAGGGATATTATTTTTACCATCTGGAATGACAACTGCAATGATTTTTTGGGGACCAACTAAATAAACTAAAATATTGTAAATTATTAGATATTCGACCAGCTTATATGCATGTCCGTATTTTTTTTTTTTGTACTCGCACTAAAAATTATAGGTATTAATGTAAACCTTCAAGCAATCCAAGAGAGCTGTCCGTCTAATGGGTGCTGAAATGTACTTTTGCAGTAAAGAGGAAAAACATTAGCTCCCTCTAGCGCTACATTTTCAAGAAATAACAGTACATCGGGCTGAGGCGAATGGGAAAATGTGTTGTACTGTAATTCAAGGGTGTTTATTTGGCTGTCCTACCCTTGGGACACCAGCTAAAAATTGAAGCTAAACAAAACCTATGTCTGTCGCTGGTTATTTATCATGTTGGGGAAAAAAACACAAAGGCGGTCGGAATCTGCTTCAAATCAATATTATACCACCATCATTTTTTAGGTTTGGCAGTATGATAAATGCAGAGTAAAACATTGACAACTGCTTTAATTTTCCGATGTCCCAATGAATGAAATAATACCGCTGACAGAAACAATACATTTAATAAGTAGCTCACAATAAAAGAAATCGGTATGCACTAGTAATCTAGCCACAGCTAGATATTGTAACCTGCAAATGTAATGATTTCATTGAAGAGTGTGGCGCGGTTACTGCGATAATAAATTACGTCTTTTAAAAAAGGATGACATCTTGATATAATCGCTCACGGGTTGTATATATAACTCCCCCAAAAGTTATATGCTGTATATAAGGTACTGTATGAAACACCGCGCGTCCTGTGAAAGTCCTGTGAAATCAGAAAAGGGAACAGTCGGCTGATTATGCGCGAGAAATGTCGCGTCCCCTTTCCGGTGACTAAATCGAAGAGCGAGAGAGGATGAGATAAATCATAGTCTTAACAGGGATTAGCCATGCGAGGCTGTTAACGTTTAGACTGTTAGACGGATTTGGTATGAGGTTGGGGTTAGGAGAAAGAAGCTGTGCCATATACCATCCTGTTGACTTGCCGTACTGTACTGTATATGCTGTATAGTGTATAAATACTGCTTCATTGCTCCGCTTACTGAACGTAAAATATATTTTTTTTTAATTATTAAATTCCAAACTCTAAATCGGTGTATATTTTAAAACAGGAAAGTTGGTATTGCAAGTGAATGAATCTGCTCCAGACTACAGTATGTACCTCCAATTAAATGCGCCACTGCATGCTCCAACAAAAAGCTTTATTCATGGCATGAGCAATGTTATCTCGGTGTATACCCCCCTTGCCAGATATTGTGGAAACGACATATTCTTCAGTTGCTTAAACCATGGCTTGCATACTATGATTGAGTTCACCGTAAATTACTACAATCCTTAGCATTCTAGAATTCTAGTGCTTACTATCTTTTATGATTATAAAACATTATGAGTGGGTCATTAAATCCAAAATTTAAACTTGACCCTGGTCCATTTTAAAATTTCAGTTCTGCAATTATGTGTGTGAACAGTATACAGTATATACACTACAGTGCCTTGCCAAAAGTATTAAACCCTTTCTAATGATGTCCCATTTTGTTCAAACACAAACACGTACTGTACTATACTACACATTTTTAAAGTGTACACTATATTTTTAATCAAAACACTTTTATGAGTGAAAGAAAAATGCATTTTAAAGCAAAATGTTAATTGTGTAAGTATTCACCCCCTAGTCAATGTTGGAAACAACTACAGGTGTTAGTGTTTTTGCATAGTGCAATTTTTATCTACTTTTCAGTATTGATCAAGCTTTCAGTATTGATCAAGCCCTGTCTTGTAAGTTCTTGCCAAAGATTTTGCATCAGATTTAAGTCAGGACTTTTGGCCATTCAAAGACATTAACTATCTTCTTGTTAATCCACTGTAGTGTAACTTTGACCATGCCCATTGTGTCCTGCTTAAAGGTGAAAATGGTGAAAAAATGAAATTGTATACCCCTTATACAGTAGGTCTTTAATTGAGTAAAGCAGGTTTTCCTCCAAGATGTGCCCGTGATCTGCTCCGTCCATTTAATCTCGGTTTTGAAAAGCTTCTCAGTCTCTACTAATCAAAAATAGCCCTATAAAAATAATGCTGCCTCCACCACACTTTACATTAGGAATGAAGGTGGTTGGGTGACCTTTTGGATTTGTGCCAAAAATGTACAAATTGGTCTCATCTGACCATTAAACCTTTTGAGACATGTTTGCAGTATTACTTAAATGCTTTGTTATGAATTCCATGTTGGATGTGACCTGGGTTTGACAATCTGCCATACAGGGCAGACTTGGTGCTGTAACCAGGATATTATTGACTCAGGGAGATTTTCTCTGAACACTGCTCAGTTTGAACGTGCAGAAGATCTAGGCAGTGTCTGGTGGATATAATATGTTTTCTGTTTCTTAATGTTCAACTTCACGAAAGTGCTCAAAGACATGTTCATTCTTTGTGTTTTTTTATAGCCTTCTCCTTATCTGTACCTTCCTAAAACGTTTTTCCCCTGAGTTGTTTTGAAAGCTTTATGGTCTTCCTGGTTGAATTTTTCTAGGAATGCCCCACCCGATGGAAGGATCTTATAGAGACATGTGGACTGTATTTGTTGTGAAATAACATGAACCATTATTACTGCACACCGTCCATCCGTCTAATTGTGTGACTTGTCAAAATAATTTTGTGTACCAGAACTCATTTAGGTTTGCCGCAGTAATACTTATAGACTTAACATATGTTGGATTTTCCTTTGAAGCTGTTACTGTCTTTCACTCATAAATGTGTTCAGTTGACACTCAAGTTTTGATTAAAAATATTTGCTTTAGAAAATGGGTTTACATCATCTGTAACCCAACAAAATGTGACATAGTTGAGGGTGGATTGTGACACTGTCCTTAGCATTGCTGCATAATAGCACTGGGTTCAGTTCTGGACCTGGGGTGCTATCTGCATGGAGTTTACATTATCTCCCTGTATTTCCCCCATGGGTTTCTTCTGCTTGCTCTGGTTTCCCCCAGAAGTTCAAAGACATACTGGTAGGTTAATTGGTTTCTGGGAACACTGGCCCTTGTGTGAGTGTGTGCGCACCTGTGTCTGTCTGTGTGTGCCCTGTGATGGGCTGACATCCCCGGTGAGCCTGAGTTAAAGCAATTAGAAAACGGATGGCTGGAATATCATGGAAGGGGGTGTATGGCCTTTTAAAAAAACACACTGCCTTCTGAAATGCGTTTACTTGTAAATTAGTAAAAGAAAAAAATGCATTTTATGTTTATGTGTTTAGTTTGGTGTTTGTATTTGGGATGCTGGATTGTCTGTAGCTGGAGTAATTTAAAATTAGATTTCGATAATGATAACCTTAGGAAAGATTTTACTACTAATTTGAGTCTTCATAATTATTGCCAGTCCATCCATGAGATTCAACGGCAGCACATTAAGAAGAGTTCTTTGCATTCACTATAGCTTTATTGAGTAATAAGCTACATATTTTGCTTATTAATAGTCCCATATGTATGGGATGAAGTTCTCACATCAGCAAATTTTTCAATGAAAGCATAGAATTTCCACTGCATTATTAATATCCAGATCTTGAGCTGCATTGGATAGGTTGTTAAATGACACAGAGAAGTTATGATCAAATAGATAGAGCATTCTTAATCTCTGTCTGTTTTCAGTCAATGTACTGTATGTCTATATTTCTATAATGTTCAATCTTGGACAGATATATTTACAAGATTGTCACTGAGGATAGGCAGCTTGTATTAAAACGAAAAGCCAAAGTGGTCCATACCAACTATAGAAGGAAGCTGATTTGCATTTTCAAAGTAAAATTCTTTCCACTTTTATAAAGACTGCCAGGGGAAGAGTAAACTTTATTTTAACCATAAGAAAAAATAATAATTCCACAAATAAATATAATTATTAATCATAACCAATCTCTAAGCAGCATATACAAAAAATCATCCAATAGGCTTGGGTTATGGTTTATTTCACACTAACGCTAAGCATTTGTTGGGTTATAGTTCTGTGTATCTTCTGGACTGAATTCAAAAAGAGCCTAGAAGATACAAGGGCCCATAATCTAGCAAACCAAAAAATATATCCATGCCCTATCAAATGTTTGAAACAGTGTTAACCAGATGTTCTGGATTTAGAACAATCTGAAACTGCTTTTGATTAAATCACATTTTTATTTTGATTTGAGAGCTACATTTGCTGAGCCACAATTCCAAAACAGCGATGCTTCTCATGTTCAACTGTTTTGGCTCACAACACAGCCATGAAATTTTCACAAGAGTCAATGATCAACCATGCTGTTAAAGGGAGTGTACAGCATCATATACTGTACTTGAGGTGTTGAAGTAAAGGAGAGCATAAGTCTGTTTAAGGCCCTGGAATGTAGACAAAAGCCTAAACCTACCGAATA